TCAAACCAAACAAATCTCAATTGGTCTAAATTTTAATTGTTATATTTAAAAATAAAAAACTAATAAGTAAGCTAGTACATTTGACAAAAGAAATAGTGCCTATTAGTTTTATCTCCTAAATATTAAAAAAAAAATCATCCCAAAACTATGTCGTTTCAATAAATTTTTATTGAAAAAAACTAAACTACCCTATTTTTAAAGCATGCATTAAGGTGATTTTTGTTCTTTTTCTTTTTAATTTTTTAGAGGTAAGGCGGATAAACACTAACCCCTTTGAAAAATTAGCTTAAAAACTTTTTATATAATTTTTTAAAGGTCTTTATTCTTTTTTAAGTTTACTCACCATCTTTTGCTAAATTATCTAGTTACTTGGACAATTTCTTCTAATGATTGAAATTAATAAAATAATAATTAAAAAAATTAAAAATCATAAAAAGACAAATTTTTTTTTATTAAAACAAAAACCAATTCAAATGGTTATTCTCAAAAAATTAACAAAAATCAATAAAACCTAATAAACTTTTTAATTTAGGTAATAATTTTTAAAATGTAATAATAAAAAATTTAATTAACTAATAATTCGATTTGGGTGCCAATTGAAACTGAAGCATACCCACCCTATACGTGGGGATGGAAAAATAGTGATATGTTGAGCACTTTGTACTTTTCGGTTTTCTATGCTTTGCGGCTAGCTGTACCGTTGGAAATTATATATATATAAACCTAGCAATTAGGTCGGATTGGTGAGTTTGAATTTCGTCATTTTAGATCTTGGATTATTTAGATTGGGTCACTTTGAATGTCGTATTAAGGAAATTGACTCATGATCCATCCACATAAGTTTTGGATTGGGTTAGGTGGACTTAACTTTTAAACAATTAAAATTAAAATTAAAATTTTTTTATATTGTTTTATATTTTTCTTGAACAAAATTTAATACTAATTAACTATTTAATTAAAAAACTTTATTATTAATTAACTATTTAGTTAGAAAATTTATCAAACATTAATTTTCATTTCATAATTTAATTTTTTTTCAATCTCAAGAAAAGAAAAAAAAAAAGATCAGTGATTATATAGATAGAATTAAAATATATGTCAAATCTATAATATTTATATAATATTTAGAATTCATAATTTCATAAATGTATTAACTTTCGTTAAAAGAAGAGATATGAAGGATTAGACTTCAAAAAATAGAATTAAAATATATGTCAAATCTATAATATTTATATAATATTTAGAATTCATAATTTCATAAATGTATTAACTTTTGTTAAAAGAAGAGATATGAAGGATTAGACTTCAAAAAACAAATCCAATATATATATATTAATATCTAGTGTCTATTCAATATTTATAAGAGTATTATACAAAAAATACAGCTCTATTTAATATTTAGGAGGACCTTATACAAAAAAATATAATCTTATTTAATATTAAAGTTTACAAGGCAAATTCAAAATATATCTAACCAAATATAAGAAGAAATTGGATCGGAATTGATTTTTATTAATTAGGAACAAATTATTAATTAAGAACAAATTAACAATTAAGAACGGACTTTGATGTTCTTGATGTTTTTATCTTTGTACTTCTAATGATTATGAGGTACCTTAATCACTGTGTTTCGATTTTCAGTAGGTATTCTTGCATTTTATTTTTAAAAAATGATATTTTTTACGATTTTATATAATATAACGCATTATGTGCTACCTAATATAATTTTTTACGCGAGTATCACCAAAGAGAAGGATTTGAGAGCTTGAGGTGAAGAAGGGGAGAGCAAGAGTGGAGAAAAGGAAAAGTTGAAGGAAAGTGAAATTGATAAGAGATTAGAGTTTGGGTATTTTATTTATTTATGCTTTTAGGATTAGGAAATTAAAATTTTAAAATTAATTTTTAAGTAATCTAATAAAAAATGAATAAAAAAAGTTCGGATCATTTCAGGTGATCCTATCCACCCGTGACTCAACCCATTTAGGTTTGGATAATTTTAGTTCAGGTCATTTCGGATTTTAGATTAACACATATGACTCATGACCCTATCCATAACGGATGAATTTGATCGGATTTTCGAATTATTGAATTAGTTTCAATTTTGCCAGGTCTATATATATATAACAAATTATATATATATATTTTTTGGAAGATTTGAACTCAAATTAAGGGTGCACCATTTACTATGATTTGTAGTCATTTGATTTAAAAGGCCAGCTGCGGGAGTTATCTGTATATATTTTGTTGTTTTCTGTTTGACTCATTCTAATCTTAAAGCTTTGGATTCTGCCCAGTAATTTGGGTTTATGTCTTTTGTGGCAAGAGTTGACTGCGCTTATCAGGACCGACCTTGTTTGTTAGGCCCCAATGCATGATATACGTGGGAGGAGTTGGGAAACCACCTTAAAACCCAAACATAAGCAGTTAAATTCATAAAACCTTCATTTTTTTTAGGACTTCCTTAATTTGTTATCAGCCAAAGAAGACATAAATTTTACTTAATTATATATATATATTTTGAATAAAATGTGAATTTTATTTATCATAGTTATATTTTTTTTATTTATATATAACTTTAGTTAAAGGTAAATTATTTATATTACATTATTATTAACTGTGACTTAGTAATAAAGTATCTATATTTTTAACTATGAGTTTAAAATTTAATCTATACAATCTTTGTATATCAAAAAAAATTTGTGCACTAATAAAAGATTCATAAAAAATTATCTCTTTTTAACCAAACCATTAAACATAACTTAAAGATTTTAGTTTTAACTTTTTGGATTGTAAAACACACCACTACAATCTGATTTTGGTTTATTTTATCTTCTAATAATTATTGTAAGTAATAAAATTCATAAAATTCATACAAATGAATTTTCAAAGAAAAAAAAAAGTTTGCTGTATGAATCCAGATAGCAGAAACTAA